ATAATTTCCTTCGTAATGAGCTCGAATTAGTACAGCCTAGTCTTTGCTCACTGTTTTTTAAACCAACATGGCATAATATTTGATCTATTTAGGACTGCAAATGAAATTAGTTAGGTTGAGCTGAGCACGTGCTTGTTTGAGCTAGAGTTCACTTTTTAAGAGCTCTTTCGAGCTCGGCTTGAGCTCGATTCGAGCTGTTAAGGTTTTAGCTCGAGCTTGTTTATAGCTACACTGTTCGAGTTCAGCTTGAGCTAGATTTGAGCTCGGTTCATATATGATTTTATTGAGTTTATTAACAAGCAGATCATTTAACAAAATAAACGAGCCATAATAAGTTTCAATCGAGCCTCACTCAAGTTTTATAGGAGCAACTTGTTAGAAAAAATAATGAAGCCACATCTAACAATGCTGTTATTAACAAGCAGATCATTTAACAAAATAAACGAGTCATAATAAGTTTCAATCGAGCCTTACTCAAGTTTTATCGGAGCAACTTGTTAGAAAAAATAATGGAGCCACATCTAACAATGCTGGTTGAACCTCAAAGTAAACATTTGAATGAAACTGTTAATGTACAAGGTATAATCGAGCTTATTCACAAGCTTTAAATAATTACTATTCATAAATATAAATGAACCAAACAACGAGTTGTTAAAACTTGTTTATTTAGTAATCAAGTATTTATGAAAGTTTTCAAGCTCATTTGATTAATTAATCAAATGATCGTGAATGGGCTTTAATTGTGTCAAGCCATGAGTAGCTTGTCGAACGCTTGGTTCATTTGCTGCTTATATATATATCTCAGTTCTTTTGTAGCATGACATTTTAATGTTTCTTAAGCTTTGACGGAATGCCAAATAATTTCTTACTCTGATAATAGGATGACATACAAAAGATCTGCCTTGTGTATGATTCTTTTTTGTCTGAATTTCCGTTATGTTATGGATATTGGACAAGATATGTGGGGCACAAGGCACGGCTCTGCACTATGAATGAGGCCGAGCAAGTCTATGAACAGGCTGTGAAGATAGCATCACATTCTGTTCATCTCTGGGTCAACTATTGTAACTTTGCTATATCATCGTTTGAGGATCCTTCAGATGTTAGAAGGTAATTCAGATAACTGATGTTTTGCCGCTGCTATATAACTTTTAGACGGCATAGTTTTGACCTTTATGTCTGTTATGCAGGCTGTTTGAGAGAGGATTATCTTATGTTGACAAGGACTATTTATGCCATCTCCTATGGGATAAATATATTAAATTCGAGTATTGTCAAAAGCAGTGGGATCGGCTAGCTCATATTTATATCAACACTTTGAGATTTCCTACAAGAAGGTTGCAAAGCTATTATGAAAGGTATACAATTGGTCTAAAGATGGGTTATCTTTTTCTCAAAAATAAGAAAAAATCAAGCATGTAAGGCGTTTTAATTCATGGGATGGCAGACATTTGTTTTACCACTGGTTTGTCTGTTGAAATTTGATTTAGTTCTATTTTAACTGAGGTTATGAGCTTTTGTTGTAATGCACAGATTTGGCCATTATCTTCTGCTCATATTGGTCAGTCATTTTCTATTAAAAATTGAACTGATCCTAAATGATTAGATGTGAATATGAGGCTGATTGTACTTCTTGCTCTCGTAGTTTTGACCACATTTAAAGTAATTCTTTGAATTCATTTGGAGTTTTGAGCTGTTCTAAGATGGTAGTTCTTCATTGCTTTCAGTTTTAAGAAATTGGCTGTTCTGCTGGAAGAACAATTGGGATCCCAAAATGTAACAACTAAACTACCAGAAGGTGTTCCTAACTGTGAATTGACAAATATGAAAGGCTGTGAGTATACAGAAATCTCAAATGTTGTGGGTTTTCCTGATCAAAACCCTGCAGATCCAGAAGCTTTGAAGAAATATTTATTCTTTGGCGAGCTATTGTACCACAAATCAATTCAATTAGATAAAAGTATAAGTTGCTTTGAGGCTCAAATCCAGAGGCAGTATTTTCATATCAAGCCACTTGATGAGTTCCAGCTTAAGAATTGGCATGACTATCTCACATTTGTTGAGGAGCAAGGAAGTTTTGATTGGGTAAATACTGTTAAATGATTTAACTTTTGGGCGTTTCTCCAACTCTTGGCTATCTCCTGAAAAGCTCCTTTTTCTATTTACAGACTGTTAAACTTTACGAGAGATGTTTAATTCCTTGTGCTAATTACTCAGAGTTCTGGATTCGTTATGTTGATTTTGTGGATGCTAAGGGTGGTAGAGAGTTAGCTAATGATGCACTCGAAAGAGCATTGAAGGTCTTCTTAAAGGTAACTAACTTATAATTCTATATGGTTGTTATAAAATTGATGACTGGTAGCTTGCTTGTCAAAATTTCTGTCGAATGGCTACATTAAGAGTTTGGCTTTTGGTGTGGTTATTTTTCACTCTAATGAATGCATTATATTTGTTCTTCTGCTCAATATGGGTGCAGTTAGTTTTAATCTCATTTCTTTGGTATGATATATGCGTTCGATTATCAGTTATTATATTTGTTAAACAATTGAATGTATTATAACGAGGATTGGTGACAAATATAAGCTGCATTCATATAAACGTCCTTGCCGGGTATGCCCGCTGAGTTAACATGCTATTTTGCATTTCTATTCGTAATATTTCTGCTAGTGCCTAGTCGAATTTTAAAATTTAAGTGGATATTATGGCACCAAATTGGCGGTAGCGTATCATGTTTTAAGTGGATATTATGGCACCAAATTGGCGGTAGCATATCATGTAGTCACTACCCAAAATGCTGTAAATATTTTTCTACTAGTGCAAAATCTGAGATCTTAGTGATGTAGCTTTTAATGAATGAAATACTTTTTTATATCGTGTTTATAGTTCTTGGATTTAATTAGTCTCTAATAATTTCCAGCTGCACGTTGCCTTGCCTGAAATAGTTGGATATAATTCATTTGTGGTTGTTCCAGCCCTTATTTGTCTTGAGCATCTTTTTATAACGGGCTGTAAAAAATGATTCTCATAATATCTACATGTTTATCTTCAACGCTAATAAGTTGCACATGTGGGATGGGGATTCCCGTTGCCTTGTTTTTCATACCATCTTAAATGCAGTATGGGCAGATTTTGATAGCAACGTAGAAGCAATGCATTACCTAATGATTCCTAAGATTTCTTGCTATTTGTTCTGTGGAAAAGTAAATGTAAATTTCTTGTCTTTGTCATGGTATCTTTCAATATTGTTGAATACCAATGTTTGGTATTTAAGACTACTGATCTCATGTGCAAACATTCTTGCTGAGGTGCTTATGGGCATATCATTTTGTATATTTAATTATCTATCCTGAATATGTAAGTTTTAATGTGGCGTCTAAGTGGCATCACACATTTTATTGTAGCCAACATTGAATGTGTTGTTTCGATGTTGCAATAAGATTTTTGTCAAATGAGGCCATGTTCATTTATCTCCTACTAAAGGATTTTTGTGGTGTTTAGTATCCTCACGGGGATTTTACCTCATTTGACATTTGTCTCTTATAATTTCTAGTGAAGCTTTCTAACCTTGAAATCCTTAAGGTTTATGGAGGTTCCGATCATGATTTGAGTTGTTTTTCATCCCATCATATTTTTGAAATGAAATCAGGTTTCCATTTATGTCTTATTAGTTTTTTGGTGATGTCCATATGTACTCCACACGTCAAAATAATCCTACCCACATGCATTCCGACCAACTCACTGAATGAATAAATACAAGTTTTGAGAATGCTATGCAAGCTAAAAAAATAAATAAATGAACTCTTATTGCATATACTTTGAGAGAAATGGCTTGAAAATATGAGATTATTTTGAAAAATTCAAACTTTAAAAATCCAATACTTTCCACTCTGCCTAG